TTATGAATCCATGAAAATATCCTTTGTGAAAACAACAACAACAAAAACAACAGAAACAACAACAAAACAAAAACAGCAGAAAAATACGACAATGTGTAAATTGACAGACAGATTTTGAGAGCATGAACGGTTACATGCATTAATTACAGCCATCGAAGTCTAAACACAAGTTTTATATACAGGTGATTGGTGAATTGTTGTTGTTTTTCAATGCTTGTTCCAATTAGTTGATTTCGTTTTACGGATTCCACTACTTAATGAATTATATATTTGAGTTAATACTTGGTGTACTCAAAGATTTTAGCCGTGCATGGTGGTATTGAAGCACATTTTTTACATTTTGTTCAATTCCTTTCCTTCGTTTCAATACATTAAATACAGTTCTAACTGCGTCATGTATCACGAGGTCGAAATTTTAAATGGTATCACGTGTGCAAAATTATTCTGACGGGAACAATCGACATAACCCTCGCCAATTTAGACGGAAAGGCATCCAAATGGAACAAACTAGTTTGCCGCATTAGTACAGATTCATTTATTCAGCCTCACTAATTTATCGGTTGCTTATTTCGATCCAATTTCAGAAGCCTTTGCAATTTTAGGATTTAATAACATCCTGGTGTGTACTGTAACCAGAACATCTCTTTTGTACTCTTGAATAAAATTGGGAAATTAAGAAAGTCTTTTCTTTAGTGTTTTAAGGTAATAAAATCAGGAAAATTGTTACTAACGTGGAGGAAAAGAATAAAATTGCATCTACAAAATCGATTTCAATTCACGAATGATTAGAGCGAATATTACATTATGAAATATAACAACATAATATTACTTATTTTACAAATTCTCATACGATAAAGAGGTCTTCTTTTTTTTTATCTTAAACCCCACATTGTTAAAGAAGTTCTATATCTATCACAAATGTGTAATTGAATTTTATTGCCAATAACTAAAATTTTGAAAAATTAATGTCAACAATGTTCCATTGTTTTTATATTCACTCTAAAACTGCGATAAGATTTAGAAAGCCATCATTCGCCAATGTCTGAGAATAAATATGTATCTGCATCAATGCATTACATATTGATTTATTGAAACAATAAAAATTCTAAAGGTTTACTACGCTACACACCCATCAAATTGTTGTTTTATACATTCATGTACACGAGAGATGTACGAGGGTTGTCCCAAAATGTCGTAGACTACATTATTTTCTCTTCAACCTGACGTCATAACTTAATAAAATTTACCAGCTATCTTCCTTGGTCATTTGTTAATTTACCTACTGAAAGTCAATAGCCAATATATTAGGTAACGCTTTTTATCAGGGTTTTATATTTAACAGTACAACATACCCGGAGCACGATAAAATATTAGTCAGTGTTGAGAGCATGCTTCTTAAAATAATGCCTTAAACTTCTAGCATAATAATAATTATGGGAAATTCATTCATGTGGAATTACATCATTCATTTTTACGTCATATCACCAACAGACGTTTATGTTACGTTAATTAAAAAAAGTCTGTAGCATAATACGTAACAGCAGTGCTATTTTGAAAATGCCCAAAATGGCGACGTCATATGAAAATGCGGCGCAGCGCAATGTCATTGAATACTGTGTTAAGTTGAAGAAGCGTCCAGCGTTAATTGACAACATGGAGAACATTATATTTTATAAAGATAATGCACCTTGCCATACATCTCAGGAGACACAGATTGAACTTGATGTGATAGGTTTTCAGAGACTTCCGTACGCCCTAAGTCTTTGCAGTGTTTCCTTATTTGAAATCACAATTACGAGGTCACAGGTTCGAAAACTTCAGCGAACTCCGCTAGGAAACTCAACTCTGCGAGTGTTGAATACATTGAAGCAGGACTGTTTTGAAAACGTTTATGATAAATGGGTTGCCCAACACTGACAGTGCATGGCGAAACACGTGAATACTTTGAAAAACATTTTTAAAAATTTTATAACGTCATGACGTTTATGGCGGTGTGCACCGGGTATGTATAGGTAGCATTCTTTAAATTTTGATAACTTTGTCAATTTTTGAGGTATTTTGATTTTATTTCGCATAGACACACATAAAAGGTGTATTGAATTTCCCCTAGCTGGAGGACTCTATTGTATTATAATTGATTGAGTAACAGACTTTGTCTACGATATTTTGGGACAACCCTCGTATGCATGACATGGTTAAGAAACAATACGTATTTTATAGCCTTTCAACAACAACAATTACAACATCCCTTCCTTGATTTGTCCATGTACTATTCTTAGTATCTGCCCGGTGCCTTCCTGGGTTCAGGGTCGGTGCTAAGGTGTTGTTGGAGTTTATTTGGATCTGCATTCATAGAATGTAATATTGTTGTTCTTATACTTTCTATTACAACGAACACCATTGCTAAGAATGGTTAAGTTAATATTTCTTAATACACTTGTTACTATATATAGTAACAAAATTGCCTATGATTTCAACTGATTATGAGTGTCACGTGACCTATTATGAGTTTGCGGCCCGGGGCCGAGAACTAGTTATCAGCCCGCAGAACATGTGCACAAACTGAAACAATGACGTCACATTTAACGTCATCAAACAGTTAACTGTAAAAGTGAAAGTAGGTTGTCAGCACGCATCGCTTTATTTTTATTATGAGACCTTAAGCGTATTTAGTACAAACACATTTTTGTTACTATTGAAATTTTAAGAAATAATACGACAAATTCATTCCGAAAAAAATGAAAATAAAACTTGCTTCTTGGTTCTACTGCTTTGAACACACAAACAGAAAACATCTCTGTACAGTACAGAACAGTAGAAGAGTAGACAAGAATTTCAACGAAAGAACTTCAAAGTCTATTTGTTTTGATTATGTTTTTGTTATTTTTTTTTAATGCTACTATTAGATCTACCAAGTGTATTAAAGACATTAATACACGTCAGCGTAGGGCCGGAAGGTGATAATCGGCCCTGAATGAATAATGGCCCTCGGGCTAAAGCCCTCGGGTCCATTATTCATTTTGGACACTACCCTCATTTGTTTAAAAGGAAAGGATAAAAACAATTACATTTATATACAAGTCATGTATAAAGCTTAACTGTTGGAAGAAAACCTCATGTCTGCCTCCTTGCATTATTTCAGGCACGAACGGGCACCTGAGTAACAAATGTTCCGTGAGTAAGCTGGATAGCTTTCTCACACGAAAGACTCCATAGTTCCTAAAATGACTACGGTGAGGGTCAAGTGGTTTGAAGTCGTCGACATGAACCACTTCGCCATGGAACCCTCCTTTAAACTATATAAATTAAGTTTTTTAGCATATATAGAAATTAAGAAAAAATAACACGTTGAGAGCCCTCATATTAATATGTCTACCGGAAGCATACTGTTAATAAATACACAAACATAAACATACAGGAATTTGCAAAAAATATGTAATGACGATACTGTCTCCTACGAAGCATTTCATCACCACCAATGTTCTGTAATTGTTTGATTTAGAGGTTTGCTCAAAGTTCGTCTGAGAACCACTTTTGTTAACATGACATGCAGTAATAGTTGGTAATGTGTAACTTTTTTTCTCAATGTCGTGCATTTTAATTAAGCGAGGCATGCTACGATTTACGACAGACATACAGTATATTTTTCAGGAAAAACGATTTGGTGTATATTCTTCTCATTTTAAGTGGGCGTTTTTTCCCGGGAACATGTACGTTTAAATGTTTGTTTTATGTTATTCTTATATATTTTAACGTTTGCGTATGTTAATCGGAAACCTTACCAAATATAAACTTTTCTTGTTTGGAATTTATTATTGATCCAATTAAATGCAGTAAAATAACATTTTCTCTTGCAATTTTATGGTGACTTCTTTGCCTGAATTCGTGTTAGCAAAACATGTATATTCTATTTACGGAATATTTCAAGATATAAACAGATCAGTAATTATCGTCTGCTAACTGAAACGTTTACCAGTTTATTTGTTTGGTTTTTACAGTGAAATTGTCACCATCGTACTGTCGTACTGTTACCATCGTACTGTCGTGCTGTCACCATCGTACTGTCGTATTGTTACCATCGTATTGTCGTACTGTTACCATCGTACTGTCGTATTGTTACCACCGTATTGTCGTACTGTTACCATCGTACTGTCGTATTGTTACCACCGTATTGTCGTACTGTTACCATCGTACTGTCGTACTGTTACTATCGTACTGTCGTACTGTTACCATAGTACTGTCGTATTGTTACCATCGTACTGTCGTACTGTTACCATAGTACTGTCGTATTGTTACCATCGTATTGTCGTACTGTTACCATCGTACTGTCGTACTGTTACCATAGTACATGTATTGTCATATTGTCACCATCGTATACTGAACAAATTAATTTGTCCCATTGCTGGATATTCAGTTATCGTTGATCTATTATTTATGAATTTCGAATTTGGAAGCCTTTGTATTTATGTCCTTTAACAACATTTGACTACTTAAAAACTAGTTTTATGTTTTTATGCTTGATTTTTAAGCAACTAACAGATAACTAAAGTTCTTCAATCAAATCATATACTCGTGATTTTTTTGTTTTCTTATCGTTTCATACACTTATATTTTATATTGTATTAAACGATGATTGTCTGTGAAAAGGGAAATTTAAATAATTCTGATAAGCTATTGTATTTATTAATTTCCGTTTTTAACTGTTCTTTAATGATATTGTTATGTGTTATATGATATATCTAGTATACGGATGTGAAAATGCTAAATTGCTCTGTTTTGGAACAGTCCATTCAAAGTTTATGGGGGTTTCAATATGAAATTACAACATTTGTACATAATATGATCAGGCTGGCTGAATGAAGGTTTATTTACTCTTAGTTCCAACAGGTGCAGGGTTTACATTGCAACGGAAATGACGTGACTAAACCCAGAATGCAATTCTCCAAAAACACAAACAAACAAACAAAACAACTCTCTTCATTTTAAACTATATTTCAGGGAAGTTGAATATATGTTATCAATATGTTTTTATTTCCTCTAATAATTGAAGAGCATAATATATAAAAATACAGTAAAACCCAGATATTTACATGAATTGAAAACAACAAGGTTTTTAAAATGGGACTTTTACATATAATGAAATAAATCTTGGATGTTTTTTATTACATGATATTCTAAAACTTTCAAAGGAGAATGAACAATTTTCATAGATGTATAGTCTGAAGATGTAGAAACACATGATGGTTAAACTACAAGATCTATGAAAACAAGTGACGTTTAAACTACTACGTAGATGGAACTACATGTAACACTGTTCTATTGACTAAAATTAAAGACCGTTTGAATGTGAATACAACGCGCCACTTATTCCTCTTAAAGTGACTCCTTTTTGATTAGCCCCTTTTTTACAGTTTACGAGGGAATAAATTAAAGAGACATTATGCCTCAGAAACGAATATATTTAATTAACGATTTTAGATATTCCTTTATATCGTATAAATAATCATTTTAGAGAATGTTATATGATTATCTTCGGAGCCCCTAAGGTGACATTTTCCACCCTTTATTTACCTAATTACGAAATATTAATTCGTAAAAACGAAATATTGTTTCGTAAAAACGAAAAACATTCCCCTCCATATTCGTTTCACTAATGAGTTAAATTTCGTGTCAAGAATCGTTCAATTCATTAATGAATATTCATTTGTACTTCCGAACATTTAAAATATTTAAAGTCTGCAAGCTTTACTTTTAAAATAATTTCACAAATACCTTTGAAACACTACATGCACATCCGTTTCAGAGTTCTGACATTTCAATTTCCACCTGCGTTGATTTTTTGTGTCGACCAGGTATTTCACCGTCGTTGTTCTGTGTTGATACTTTGTGTCGACCGGGTATTTCACCGTCGCTGTTCTGTGGTGATGCTATGTGTCGGCCGGGTATTTCACCGTCGCTGTTCTGTGTTGATACTATGTGCCGGTCTGGTATTTCACCGTCGCTGTTCTGTGTTGATACTATGTGCCGGCCGCGTATTTCATCGTCGCTGTTCTGTGTTAAAACCTTTCGTCGGCCCGAGATTTCCCTGTCATTGTGTCGGTCAGACATATTCAAAGTTTCATTAATAGTGTTGTTTTGTTTTTGCCCTGGCATGTTGATAATATGTATGGCCGTTGGATAGTTTTGTTGTTCTTGCATTTCAGAAATAATAACGCTGTTACCTGGCACTGGTCTGTGGAAGACAAACGACATAAAAGTTATATTAAGACAAATTGAAGACTATGTACGCCTTTCAAGTTTATATTGTTTGTGAGCAATTAGGTATATTCTTGATATCTGTATACAGGTATTGTATGTTAACATTGTTTCCTTATCTCTTGACTTGCAAGGAAATTTCAAAATGTAAAATTGATTAAATTCACATGTTAATCTGTCCAGTCATACATATTCATATAGGATATTACAACAAAATATTACTATTTCAGTCTATGTCAAGATAGCATCTGTTTATTGCGCATGCATATGGCCCTGGTTTGATGTGGTAAACCTGACATTTAAAAAACCACACCTAAAGTTTCATTATTTTCCATGTTGCCATGGTTTTTCTTTTAGATCTTATCTAGACCAGATATTAATTCGAACACATTTGACCTAATTTTTGCTCATTTTGATTACAACGGAAATGACCTCTATTAGTTTTGCGGTCATTAGGTTAAAGGTCAAGGTCACAGTGGCCTTAAATGTCAGAATGGTTTCTGCTGATTATCTTAAAAAGTATTCATCACAAAGTCTTCATATTTCATATAGTGATTGGTAGATGATTCCTATTGATTTTGGGGTCACTAGGTTAAAGGTCAAGATCACAGGGGCCTTAATTGTCAGAATGGTTTTCGCTCATGATCTTGAAAAGTATTCATCACAAAGTCTTCATATTTCACATTGATATTGGGGTCATTAGATCAAAGGTCAAGGTCACAGGGGCCTTGAATGGTAGTATGATTTCCACTTCTTATCTTTGTTACTATTTATCACAGTCTTTATATTTAACATATTGATTGGTCATAACTATTAGATGACCCCTATTGATTTTGGGGTCACAAGGTCAAAGGTCAAGGTCACAGGGTCTTGAATGGTAGTATGATTTCAGCTCATTATCTTAAAAGATAATTATCACAAAGTCTTCATATTTCACATAGTGATTGGTCATAACAAGCAGATGACCCGTATGGACCTTTCCGGTTTTCGTAGCGGAACATTTAGCCACACCTTTTCCATTCATTGCTAGGTCAACTGCTCACAAACAGTATCACAAACATAACTATGTGTTCTTTTGTGCAAACCAGGTCAACCAGTGACTATAGAGTATTATCTCAGTGTAGCAATTGGATAACAAGTTAGCCAATTTACATAAAACTGTAAACACTGGAAATGTCCATTGCTTTTGGGGTCATTAGTTCAATGGTCATGGACACAGGGGTCTTCAATGTCAGAAAGGTTTCCGCTTATTGAAAACTATTTACACAAAGTCTTCGTTATTTTTCTTTTTACCATAATTGAACACCTCCATGTGCCCATTTATGGCAAGTTTCTATAACAAAATAACCAATAATAAGAGTCAAGGGCTAGAAAGGGGGGCATATGTGTCGTTCGACATTTTTTGTTTAAATCAGCTGCGAAATAACGCCACATGTGTCAGAAATAAGTAGATTTGTGCTTTAGTCAGATTGGTATCATCCATTTAACACTGATTAAACATATTGAATGTTGCTTAAAAAGATGACTATTGTATTTTTTCCAGATGGGGCATAATGATGTCCCAGATTTCATGTAGTGTTGACGTTTTGTCATATACAAAATGTTCCTCAACGGGATTTGTAAAATCTTATATCCGCGGTGTTGTGGTTAAGGGGCAGCTTAGGTCTTTCTCCACCAGTAACGATGGAAAGTCGCCATATGACCTGTATATTGTTGTTGCGAAGTAAAACCCAACACAAATAATCCTAAAAATCCATTTTTTATTGTGTCCGTATATGCAAATAAGGGCTTTTAATTAGTTAATCACCTTTCTGACCCTTGAATTGTAATTTCAATACTAAACAAGCATTTAGGAAATAAATATCCATGAAATAAAAAATATACTCACCGTCTTTTAAAGATATATAATACAACACCTCCAAGCACTGCAATAAGCAACAGCCCAAAAAACCCATTCGTATTTATAGTAGGTACTGAAAAACAACACATATATATACATCAATTTGCTTAAACATATAAAAGAACTACAAAAATGTTTTCTCTCATATATGTAAATACCGGTATATATTAATGTACACAGAAATTCGACTGGAACATTGGTTTTTAAAATGCAATATGGGGTTTAATTTATACACATTTATTTTAGTTCGATAGTTTTGGAAGCTATAAGCTTATTGAAACACTCTCGAATCCGTTTCTGGAACCAACCAGTACTAAGCAATGAATGTAAAGTTTCTTGCTCAAGGTAACAACGGCTTGCCCCTGACAGGGTTTGAACCCACGCGGTCAGCAATCCTTAGATTACTAGTAATCCTTAGATTACTAGTCCGACGTGTTAACCACTCGGTCACGCCGCCAATTTGATAGATCGCTTTTAACATTGCAGCATAAGTATTAAGTAATGTTTTATAAACTGCGTGATTTTTATCGTAATTACACTAATATATTTTAATTTCATAAATCGGGAAACTTTCCTTTAGCTAATGAAAATAGAACCGTTCGTGAGATGTTTACAAAATCTATAAATTATAAATTTTCAAACCCTAAGAACGTTATGATTCCAACGCATTTCTACTAATTACTGCATGAGTCTTTTGTGAAAAATGGCTGTTTTCATTGAAAAGTCTCCCGTTATGAGTTCAAATTGTTAGGAAACTATAAAAACTGCTTCAATACTAATCAAACTTGCTGCATCATTTCCTTTGTAACGACATGCTCAGTCTTAAATTTCCTGTTACCATGGCAACGAGGGATCATCTCAAAATTGCCAAAATTTTGCTTTAATTTTTTCCATAAAAATTGATATCAAAGTGCTGCAACTTCTCAATGGATTGAGATAGAGTCAAAAGCTTTTCAGCGTTGCTTACACGTTACCTTATGATCGACCTGGGGTTATTTTTAGCCACTCACATGTCCAAAATGTTCTTGGCGATGAGGGGGACTGCCGCCCCCCTTCAAACCCCCCTTAAACAGAAGGGGGCTTCTGGCAACCCCTGATGTATCTTTTGGATAGGGTAGGGGGCGGCGCCGAAAAAGTGGTCACTTTTTTAAACAACATTTCTCAAATAAAAACAAGTGTTGGTGGCTTAAATAAAGCATTTTCTAACCATTTGAGACAACAAATACACGGGAGTGGAACCCCATATGTATCTCAAAAATGAGCATCGGTATAAATTATGTGAATTTCCGCTGCACCAGATGTGAAGAATAACACCAGATGTGACTGTAAAAATAGGTCAATCGCAGGGTAAGTTTTCATATTTTTAAACATTTATATAAAATTCCATCCTTTTTTTTAAAGAAAATCGAAATGTGATTCTACCTTCCTGACTCTCCTCTATATTATCTATTTTTGTTTTAGATTTCTATGCAGTCTTCATCGAGATATTCTTTCCGTCGTGGGTTCTGGTGTATCCAAAACATGCAATGTGAATGAAGAAAATGTCACTAAACGGACTCAAAAAAGAGAGATTTTACGAAATATCACTACAGACCGATGCTTAACATTCAGACAAATTCTGATTTAAACATGAGGTTTGGCTACAAACGAAGGAATCGCTGCTCAGAATTGCATTTGAGCTCCATATGTGCTGAAGAAATCCATATGTGCATTATATAAAAAATAACAACATAATTACGCATCACTTTCATAAAGCAATCTATAATTTATTCTATTGTGTATCATTCTGTAACAAAAACATTAATTAAAAACATTATTATTAGACACATATTTTCACTAGATGACCTTTAATAACATAATATCCATATAGAAATAAATAAAAGACATTCTGCATACGAAAGGTTTTAAAAATACGTAGATATGGTGGGAAGGCCTTGCTTATTTTTATTTATTGACGTCATGTATACTGCAATCATTCCCTTTTTATGCTGTCATGCATTAATTAATTAACGAATTATTCACTCGACTGCACTGTTTGCTTAGTAGGGGAGTAATGTGAAGCGTGTTTAAATTTGTTATGACGCTGTGAGAAAGTAAGTGATCAACTTTTTGAAAAAGAAACGTTGCATATTTATTTTCCACATCAAGGAACGTCCTAATATTTACATGGTTCACTTCATGACCATAGTCGCAATTATGGGTGTTTGCCTTTTTGACTTATTATATGCCTGCTCTGTAACTGATATGAATTTTAAAATCCATCTTTTGGCATGCCATTAAAAATGCTGATGAAACTGCGGTAAGCGTTTCCCCGGCGCGTCCCAATTATTTACAGCAATGCTTTTCTGTGTCTTTGGTCATCCAACCAATCAGGAACACCCAACATACTTCTGATTGGCTCATATGGCGTGGGGTTTACAATATTGGTCATTGACACGTTACATAAAAAGTAACCGAGGTTCCGAGTGGGGAATTAAATTAATGAAGAGAAGCCAATTATAAATTGATTTTTTTTTTTATTTTATTTTCATTTCTGTTTATCATGCGATAAAACAGTTATAATATATCGAACTCGACTGTTATGTAGAAATATCATAACCTGGGGTGGCATCTCGTGTTATCCTGACGGACAATGTTCTCGGCCCATATTCTGTAAAGAAAAACCTTTGATGTCGCACCAGGCCATGATATTTCCACATAACAATCTGTCGTTATAACTTTAACTTGTGGAATATTAAAGTGATAGATATTTTTATGAATGTAAACATAATTATAGAAACATATTATATGACACGATAGCTTTACGAAGTTCTTTTTGACGTCTTATCTGTGATACGCAGGCTTCATAACCTCTGATCCCCTTTCAAAATTCCATTTTATTTAGTTCCGCCCATTGTTTTCTCGTTTAGGGCACACGCATTTTTTTACTTGGGGACCATACGCCGCTTTTCATGGAATGGCACGGAAGTGTCACATTGAAGGTTCCATGATAACCGCCGTATGAACACATCTGCGGATGTTTCTAAATTTTACTATTTCATGTTTAAATGTTGAATTCTGCTTAAGCCGGTGCTAGGGGGCGTGGACGGTAACTTGCACTTTCCAGTACCGTCCATGAACAGGCTCAATCAAACCGAGCCTGCAACATTTTCAATTTTGCCGTGTTGGGCTTTCTTTAGGGATTCTGTATTTATCTATTTCAATACTTTCAGTTTGGTTTGTCAAAGTACTATCCGCTCTGCGTCAACATTTTCATGTACTCGTGCCTTTTAGTATTTCTAATGCTAGTATAAGCTAGTGAGCCCTGTCATTGTGGTGATCAAACACACTAATGTTACAATTGAAATTTCAGCAAAAGTTACGAAACCTAAATTGTTTCTATACATTGGCTATTTAATGATTATATGAAAGTGGTCCGTAGTTTTGTAGATGGTTTTCTACATCACTTATGGATCTCTTCAGCACATATGGAGCTCAAATGCAATTTTGAGCAGCAATTTCTTCGTTTGTAGCCAAATCTCAATAAATGTTTAAATCAGGATTTGTCTAAATGTTAAGCATCGGTCTGTAGTGAGATTTCGTAAAATCTCTCTTTTTTGAGTGACATTTTCTTCATTCACATTGCATGTTTTGGACACACCAGAACCCACGACGGAAAGAATATCTCGATGAAGACTGCATAGAAATCCAAAATTATTATATTGGCGGGACTTTTTTAAAGGCTGTATTCTATCCTTGCACCGGTAGTACACTGAGATTCATTGCAGTGGTGCTACTGTTAAATCAAAGTGCTGAAGGCACTGCAGTTGGGACGTACTTGAAGGGTCAAAATTACCATTTTTTTACTATTTCGGGGGCAGATAATTCGATGAGTGAAGGGTTTGCTGGTTGAAAAATATAAAGTGCACAATTTAGTAAATGAACAGTGGTTGATGAAATTATTCTATGACACACATGTTCAAATATAATATTTAGGTTACATGTATGTGTAGGTCCATCAAAAACCGTTATTGGCCCTTTTTTACAAGAGCAACAAGTGAAATAAGAGCTACCAGAGGAAAATGCAAGCTCGACTATATTAACACATGACATAACAAGAGCACCGCTAGGCATTATATGCCCGAAAGTGTTTTTTTTAGTAAGGATGAAGCATTTTTAAGATATGGGAATAACATAAAGTATTACCTCCTACAAAAAGCAATTATCCTTAAAGTTTATAGCTGAAAAATCTTCATATATATCAGTTGTTGTTTTCAAAGCACCACCATCAAGTTTAATATTTTAGTACAAATGCTACGACGGATGGACAAAAAGATGCCAGGGTATAACATAATATAAGCACATTTTTAGGGCATTTAATTAATGTATTCAATATAAGTGATCATCCTATGAAGTTTGACAGTTGTAAAACTGTTAACAATATTAAGATCATTTGATATTGACCTTTGATCTTGTGACCCCAATATAGATATGGGTCTTTTATTCTATATAGGCAATCATCCTATGAAGTTTGAACACTGTAAGTCTAATAAAACTTTAGCTGTAGGTTGTTTAATACTTAAGTTATTGAGCGGAAACTGTTTTCAGTTTTAAGGTAATAGTGACCTTGACCTTTGACCTTGTGACCCCAAAATCACCCAATATGGACAATCATCCTATGAAGTTTGAATACTCTGGGCCAAATGAAACTTAAGTTATGCTCCGGAAACCATTTTCAGTTTTAGGGTAAAAGTGACCTTGACCTTTGACCTTGTGACCCCAAAATCAATAGGGATCTTCTACCCAATATGGACAATCATCCTATGAAGTTTGAATACTGTGGGCCAGATGGAACTTAAGTTATGCTCCGGAAACCATTTTCAGTTTCGGGTATAGTGACCTTGACCTTTGACCTTGTGATCCCAAAATCAATAGAGGTCTTTTACCCAATATGGACAATCATCCTATGAAGTTTGAATGCTGTGGGCCAAATGGAACTTCAGTTATGCTCCGGAAACCATTTTCAGTTTTTGGGTAATAGTGACCTTGACCTATGACCTAGTTACCCCAAAATCAATAGGGGTCTTCTACTCAATATCGACAATAAGCCTGTGAAGTTAGAATACTGTGGGCCAAATGGAACTCAGGTTATGCTCCAGAAACCACATTTCTAACGGACGGATGGACAGACGAACGGACGCTAGGGGGTATAACATAATATACCCGAAATTCTTTGGGGCATATAATAAAGGGAGATAAAGCTATGAAAAAATAATCAATTGTGATATAAATATATTAAATTTTCTGTATCAGTATCAACAAAACACTCAAATGGTCAATATTTTTGCATCACATTATGAATGTGGCCATGTCATTAGAACTTATGATGGCTTTTGTTCACTGCACTTCTCATGCTACTCTCTTTCACTGTATAAAGTTTCAATTAAATTCCTTCAATAATTTAATCCTCTCTCTGAATAAGTATCATGAATTAATATAAACGGAGATAATTCAAAATTAAGTAATGTAGAATTTTGGTTATTTGACACAGCACTTCTACTCACTAGTCTCTACAACTGTATTTAGTTTGAGTGAGATATCATTGAAAAGATTTACTCCAGACAACCAACATTTTAAATGTTGATGTATTATAAGAGATGATAATTGTAAAATTAAGCTAGGAAAAATTATGGTTCTTTTAAAATACAATTCCTTTCACTTGAATGTTTTCGCTGTGTAAAATTTAAATCAAATTCCATCAATTCTTTTCCAGTATTTCTCTGGACAAGAATTAAGTACATGTATTATAAAGGGAGATAATTAAAAAACTAAGGAATGCAGTTATGGTTCTTTGACACAATGGCAAATTCGAGTCTGTGCAACTAGGTGTAGTTAGAATAAGCATTTTTAACTTAAGGGAGATAATTAAAACATGAAGCAAGGTAGAGTTATGTTTCTTGAACACTGCACTTCCTCTCACTTTGTAAAGTTTACATAAAATCCCTTCAATACGTATTTAGTTATATTCATATTCCGAACAAGAGTGTGAAGGACGGATGTCTTCCAAAGTTCACAATGTTGGTTTTTTTCTTAAATCATCTAAAATCTCAAAAACACCATAAGAAACATATTTTCCTTCCATGAGCAATCTTTTTCCCCATAAATACAAGTCTGTATGGAATGAACACGGATAATTATCCATAATATTACTTGAGTCCATACAGACAGATGGTTAAGACCGCAACTGTATTCTCTCCCTTTTGGGAGCATAAATTATAATAACATGCTAAATGGTTCTATATCAGATACCAGTATGATGAACCTTGCTTTTGTACCTTTTGAGTAATATCAGAATTCAGATTTCATTAACATACAGAAAGGGGTCAGCATTTAGTCCCCTCTTGGTGAAAACAGAAGGGGACTAATAACAACAATTTATTCTAGTTTCAATTCTCAGGTTTATTACTTTTCATTAAACCAGGCAAGCTAAGATACATGTTATAACTTATGAAGTATGCTAGCTCTGAATGTATTTACACAACATTGCTAAACATTACACATTGGAATGTGCAGTCATATGTTACACAAGTCCAAGGAGTTTCAATTCATGGAAACGTTTGGAAGAATCAGTCAATTTAAATATCACAATAGACTTAATTTATCACTGCTGGGTAAGTGTGATGGTTTTGTTTGAAGCCAAAACAACTAGTTTCAACATTTTCCTTCAACACAATGTTCATGACTGGCCCTTTACTATTGACAGGGGATTCAAGTGAAGTGCTAACTCAGACTACACCTCTAAAAAAGTTTAACTAGTCCTAAGTGTCCATGATGCCTATACAGTTATGATCACTACATCTGGAAACTGGAGATTCCCACAGACTGTGGTGCTAATCTTCATTTGCTTGACAGTGACACATGTCCACCTTAAAAAAATGCAATAACAATTAGATGAAGTGCAATAATTTGCAAAAAATGCTTATCTTATTTGTCTCTTATTACATTTATAATGCAGAGCACTAGATTTGTGTGTCTGTCATACAAAATGACTTTCAATAACACTATTTAAATATATTTGAAATACAATTTCTTCAATAAATACTCATAGTAATACTAAATTCCTTTTTTGTGATATATTTTGTATCACATATGTTCAGACAGTATACAATTTATTTGCTTAGACCACATACAATTAAAAGGTATAATTATTTATTGGCTACAAATAAATGTAAATAATGGTTAGTTTTAGCAATTGAGGCACACTAAGCAGAAAAAAATCAAAGGGTAGGGAAACATATTTAAATCATTTGGTGGAGAAACAATCACTTCACAGCTGTGCTTTGCTTTTGAATATTTTTCATTTGTTTCAATCTTGAATGATCAAAATGTAAACAATGTTCATAAAGGCTGAACTGTATTGTAAA